CCGCCGGCCCCCCTCGTGCCCCCTGGCCCCCCCCTGCCAGCTCTGCTTCCAGCCCCCCTTCTGGCCAGCCCCGGCCCCCTCCTGGCGGTTGCCCCCCACCCCCGACAAGCATGTCTGTGTTTTTTAGTGGGGTCTACCTGGCAACCCTAGCCGGGGCACAGCTGAGTGGCGCTGGCGCTGCACTGCTCAGCTGGGCCCCGGTGGGGGAGCAAGTGGCGGCAAGTGGCCGTTTGGGGTCCCCGCTCTCCATGCATGGGGAGCGCAGACCCCAAATGGCTGCTTGCCACTGCTTGCTCCCCCGCCAGGGCCCAGCTGAGCAGCACAGCGCTCGGCCGAGCCACCATGGAGGGAGGGGAAAGGGGGTGGGGCGCTGACGTACACGGCCATGGGGCGTGGCCGTGTACATCAGTGTTACAGACTCCCAGACACTGGGCTACTATATATATGATAAGAGGGGTTATTTTGAAATAATTCCCTAGTGTAGACCAGGGCTTAGTCATCCCTTTTCCAAGCTGAAAAGTCTGTATGTCTTAATTTTTCCTTGTATGGAATGGGGATGTGAATGCGTAACCAGTTGACCAGTTACCTGATACCCAGGAAGCCAAAGCATGCCACAGGCAGAGGGGCTGCTCCAGCCCCAGTGGGGCCCTACATGAGATTGCTGCTTCCAGCCCCATGCAGGCTGGGAGCTGGCAGTCCCGCATTTGGCTGGGAGCGTCTGGTCAATTAATTCAATGGGATTTTACATCCCTAGTATGGAAGCAATTCCATACCCCTAATCATTTCTGTTGCCCTTTTCTGAACCTTTTCCAATTCCACCATATCTTTTTTGAGATGAGGAGAACACATCTGCATGGAGGATTCAAGATATGGCATTCCATGGATTAATATAGAGGCAATATGATATTTTTTGTCTTATTATTTATCCCTTTCTTAATGATCCCCAACATTCTGTTTGCTTTTTGACTGTTGCTGCACATTGAGTGAATATTTTCAGAGAACTAGCCACAGTGACTCCAAGGTCTCTTTCCTGAGTGGTAAGAGTTAATTTAGGCCTCAGCATTGTATATGTATAGTTGGGATTGTGTTTTCCAATGTGCATTATTTTGCATTTACAACATTAAATTTTATCTGCCACTTTATTGCTCAGTCACCCAGGTTTGAGAGATCTTTTTGTAGCTCTTTGAAGTCTGCCTGGGACTTAGCTCTGTTATGTAATTTTGAATTATTTGCAAATTTTGCCATTTAAATGTTTACCCCTTTTCCAGATCATTTATGCATATGTTAAATAGGATTGGTCCCAGGACAGACCAGTAGGGGGTCACCACTATTTTCCTCTCTCCATTCTGAAAATTGACCATTTATACCTACCCCTTGTTTCCTGTCCTTTAACCAATTACTAATCCACGAAAGGACCTTCCCTCTTATCCCATGGCAGGTTACTTTACTTAAGAGCCTTTATCAAGGGACCTTGTCAAAGGCTTTCTGAAAATCTAACTACACTATATCCACTGGATCCCACTTGTCCACATGCTTGTTTATCCCCTCAAAGAATGTGTTATTGAGCCATATATTAGTCTCCATATTGAAATAGAATATACAATATTAGGAGTTGAAAGTTCTATTCTAGAATGTATACAGTCATTCATATAGGAGTATCAACCACATGGAGCACATACTAATATCACTAAATTTAAGATTCATTGGCCTCAGTGATCCCTTAATGTGAACTTTCCCTAGGTTTGGAGATATTCTGGATCCAGAATTTAGTCTCTGCAGAGTATATCGATAAAGACAGCTCTGAAGTTAACATTGGGATTAGAATTCTCCAAAGAACAGAATTATTTTGATACTTGATTTTGAATCAAGCTCATGTTTAAGATAATATAGCAGACTCTCTATATAAAACCACTTTTTTTATAAAATTGTATCTGATGTTATAATAGTTCCATTAAATGTCTGTAATAGAATATACATAGACTGATATGTTTTTAGAGAGGAAGAATTACACTGTTTTTAAAAAATGCAATTGAAATAACTTTGCTTTCATCCTAGCCATGTGATCTTTGCTTTCATCCTAGCCACATCAATCACATTTTGTTGTGTTTTTCTAACTGCCTTTCAGCAACCCAGTGTAAACATGGTGCAGTGTATGACACCTGTGGCCCGGGATGTGTCAAAACATGTGACAACTGGAATGAGATTGGTCCATGCAATAAGCCATGTGTTGCAGGTTGCCACTGTCCAGCAAACCTAGTTCATCACAAAGGAAGATGCATCAAGCCAGTTCTCTGTCCACAACGGTGACATTAGTTCTATTTCCAAGGACTTTAATGTTGGTATCTTTGATACCTTTGAAGCTCACGGCCAATGAAGGACTGCACTGTTTGTACGCAGATTCTGCAAAGTACAGACATGCTCAGTGTGTGTGTGTATGTGTATATATATGTGTGTGTGTATATATATGTTTGTGTCTATATATATATATATATATACACACACAGGCACATATATACATTTATTTATATATACATAGACATATACATTTATTTATATATAAATGTATACTGTGTGTGTAGATACACATCTGTACACCAAATATAAATACAGCATATATATATATACACATACAGAGAAATATACATCTTTTATGTAAACTATAGAAGGATGAATTATTTTATGTATATTTTTTGCTATAAAGTTTATGTATTATTTGTAGGATCCTAATCTGTAAGCCATTTGAGTCATTGTACAAATAAAACAGGTGTTTTTAATATAATTTAGTAGCACAAAAACATTGGATGACTTTGCCATTGCATAAACTTGTTGTTGCCAAGAAAATTTTACTAGGGCCATTATATTGCCAGACTGGTTTATCTTCAATACAGAACCTAGATTTACAGTTGTACAGGAAACACATTTCTCTGGAAATGGAGGATTTATCTAAGAATATTTCATGCATACCTCAAAGCTACCTAGTGATTGGTGACAGTGCTTAATGAAGCAGAGAGAGCTAGGGATTGGCTTTCATGCTTCATTGAATCACTGTATAAAATGACTTCCAAAACTGGATTGGCCAACTGCCAATAAGGAGAGATTTGTTTTTGGAACAGAACCAAAGAATCAAGGGCCAGATTCTTAAAAATGTTCAACATCCAACAGCTCTCATCAAAAAAAATTGACCTCTTATTTTATAAACTAAATATCCTGTACAGATTGTTATATTTGGCAGTAACAGGGAAAGAACAATGAAAAAACTTCTTTAGCCCTTTTACCATGTTTTAAATCTTTATTTTTGTTTCATTGGTTCTTAGAAATATTATTTAATAAACAAAACCTAAAAGTGCACACAAATAAATGCAATGTAATTTTGATGCGGCTTAGTACTTAAAATAATGTTGTATCCCATTTTTTAAATAACTCATTTAGTTAATCAGAATGTATAGAACTCAAAGACAAAGAATAGTGTACAAAATGTTAAATGATAAATGCTGGCAGCTCACCAGTTTCATCTATCTTCATGAACTTGTAGGTTTGTGAAGTTTCATTGACTGCTGAAATCTTCCCAGTGGAGACTCAATGAGCTGTGATTCCACCAGACATCATAATTTATGCTGTACAGCTCTTTCAATCCTAGGGGATTTACACTTCCCTTGCCATGGAAGCTTCCAGTAGGGCCTGATCAATGTGAGTCTTCAATTGGTATTTGATGTGAACTTATAATGAAGTAATTATTTATTTCCCCCACAGAGCTACTTCAATATAATTGAAACTTCTCTATCTTGAATTGAAATCGCACTTCATAATGCCAGGGGGAAAAAACCAGGACTTTAATCTACTTCTCTTCGATGGAAGCTTCACTGTGTCTGAATTCACTCTGAATAAAGGGGTGTAGCAGTCTTTAGTTATATAATATAATTATGGTGGTAAGCAGCTCTAACACAGCATAATCATATGCAAAATGCTACACTAACAAAGCTAGGTCAATAATTCCAAAAGTTTTCCATGAATGTTTGTCTGAAAAATTTAGATTTGCCTTGGTCACTTCATGAGCATTTTGTGTTTACTTTTTCTGTGAACATTCAAGTGATTAAGTTTTACAGGTAAAAACACTTATGGAAAGCATATTTCAAAGTGACACGTGAAAGTATATGTGGCAACCAAACAATAAGGGCATGTCTACACAGCAGGGCTAAAGCTAAAGCTAAAGCTACACAGCCCGGCTATGTCAATTACATAGCTTAAGTCGAAATAGCTTATTGTGGCATTTGGTGCTGTCTGCACAGCAGGAAGTCCGACTTAGAGCACTCTTCATCTGGCTTCCCTTACTCCTCATAAAACGAGGGTTACAGGAGTAAGAAGTCCTCTAGCTCGACACTATTTTGACATTATATCGAAATAACTTCCTGTAATGTAGACGTGCACTATGTTATTTTGGAATAACGTCTGTTATTCCAAAATAACACTGCTGTGTAGACATACCCTAAATGTGCAAGTGCTCATCCAATAAGGAAACAGAAACAATACTGTATGATTTAACTGATCAATCACAATGTAGCAATACTGATAAAATTCAGAATGTTTGCAATCAGTCCACAGAGTAAAACAGGAAATTATATTTATTAATAAATATCAAATATCAATTAAATGTGAGGAAATAATCTGTTTTGGCACATTCCATAGTGGGGACAGGAGTAGGGCTAAGTCCACTGAACATGTTATTTGCCCAGCTTCTAGTATTAAATGTTTTTTAAACATTTTTTTACATTTCCATCAATGCAATTTACTTAAAAATAAACACAGATTAAACAGAACGCAACACAAACTGCTCATGAGGAGTACTGTGTATCTCCTGATGATTTTTCACTAGGTTTCTTGTTCTGAACTATCACAGTGAATGAAAGGTAAAGAGACATGTCTGATCTGTTTATACCAAATGAAGAAGTGGCCCATAGTATCTATGGGTATGTCTACACTACCCTCCTAGTTCGAACTAGGAGGGTAGTGTAGACATACCCAGAGAGAGAGAGAGGATCAGGCCGGGGTGTATTTGTTGTGGTGCATTTCCCAGCATGGGGGTAGGTGCAAGGCAGTGAGATGTGTCTGGTTTGTGTTTCTATTTCTCCCGACTAGGGTGCCTATTCCGAACTACCGGTACACCTCGTTTCGAACTAGCGGGGTAGTGTAGACATACCCTATGAAAATAAACTGTAAGGCCAGACTGGTTCTGTTTGGACCCTGACCTCCAAACATCATAGCTTAGCTTTGTTTGTTTTGTTACAGTTTCCTCATTAATTACATACTGGGAGTGTAGGATGCCAATAGTTCCTTTCCTAGCATTCAAAGGAATGGTAGGGCCATACTGTGCCCTGCTAGTGGAGGTAAAGAGGCTGCCTCATTCTCCCCTGAAACCAAGGCATGACTGGGCACGATATCACTGATAAGGCTGTATTCAGCAGAAGTTCCACATGCGTGTCTGTAATGCTTTGCACCCAGCTGAGGAATCCAGCATCAATCTCTGCTGAGAATGAAGAAGCTATTTGTTTTTCTTTCCCCTTCCCTCCCAAAATACTGCAGGGCTGCAGTCTCAACTTGCTTGAAGTCATTAGAAGAACACCCATTAATGTCACTGGATCCAGGATTTCAGCACAGCTGCCTCCTTAATAGAGCTACTCAGAGGTGCTAATTCATTTTACTCCTGCCAGCTTTCCACTGTGAAATATTAATCCTGGTACAGTAGAGTTGGAAACTTCTGCCCGTGTATGGCTATGGTTGTAACTTTTGTAATTTGCAAAGCAGATCAAGCTTTAATAGTGTATTTTTAACCCTCGGGTCAGGAGCTATATACTGGTGGATCTTTTGATATTCTTGACTGGAAATCATACTCTGAAACATGCATCAAGTTTGTGTATTAAAACCTTCGTATTACTTATCTCCATCTGTTGGTGTGACTTTGTGCAAATTCAAAGGGTGATCTATGTTTCCAGACAGCACAGATTATAACTGTACCAGTCTCGCTCGACGGTACCGACCGCCCCTCCCCACTTTGGCGGGGGGGGGAGGCTTACTTCCACCCCG